CCCCACTGAGAGCCGGTGTGGGGTGAGCGTACTGGTGCAATTTGGCAAGGTGGTGCTACACATTGGTGGCGGAGGGGAGTCCCCATTACTTGTAAACCCTATGAGGGAATTTGTTCAGAAAAGCACAATTTAATTGTAATTTTATCCAGTTCCTATAATTATTTAAAAAGAAAAAACATTAGTATACATGAGATTATAAACTTTTAGGTGCCCTACTGAATGAAAGCCTTACCAGGATTCTTTGACACACATCTGTATGATGTCCACTGTGTGCTCTGCAGTGGATCGGTGTCTCTAAAGTGTCCCCGTGTCCCTGAGTAGACAGCTGTGCCTGTGTCCCACCCAGAGTGTAGTCCCACCATGTGCCCTCTGTTCCTGGGATGAGCTGCAGGCTCCAGGATGGGCTCACCAGGAACAGGCACAGTTGCTTTCTGATACTGGATGGATGGAATAAATGAGGCGGATGCAGTTCTAGTCCTGGAGGGCTGGTTCACCTGTAGGTTTTCATTAGAGCTCAGCTGATGAAGGAGATGAACCTCCTGGTTGCTGGCTTCACTGGACAGTGCTGCTGCTGCTGCTAAAGAACCTGGAAAATCTGTCCACACATCTTCCCCCAGGACCGAAACTGGACACCCCAGGACTACACAAGGAACTTGCAGTCCTTAAGAAACACATTTCTTCGGCTGCATGCGAATCAGTTTTGGGGATTTCAAAGTTTCTTGTAGTCAGCAAATTAAACTATAGATTGCAATTCTTATTCTTTGGACAGCACATGGCCTTATTCATATCTGAACAGAGAACTGCTAACTCATAGGGGATCATCCATAGTGTTTAACAAAAAAAATAGGCATGTTCGACCCTCCCACCTACACTGTCATAGCCCGAGAAGCTTCTCACCAGTTCTTTTTAACGATTATATTTAAATTAATTATCCCAAACCAGCATGACATCACAGGTCAATAGTGAGCTGTTTTCAGGTCAGAAGAGATAGTAATTCAACGGTATGAGTTATGATAGCACACCTTGGTTAAAACCAATTATGATTTTGCATAATCAACTAAACAAATCAATTAAACACATAACGCAATGAACAATCAGCATAAAGACTGCCTTACAGCACAGTTACACAGGTGCAGGCAGGGTGCCTGTTTAAAACTTAAGCATAATTAATACTAGATTACTTAAGAATTTAATAGGTAATAACAGTTAATTTGTTTTTCACCCTGGGACTTGAATTTGTGTGTTGACAGCCACTTAATGTAACTGACAGGCAACCTCATTACTCACACTATGGTGCTAGTGATAAGGAAATTATTTTATTTGAGAACTAAAACAGTATAAAATTAAATATGGGAAATGTAAACTGTAAAAACAGACTATTGGACCATGGCGAGCTTTCAAATTCTTTTAAATAAGCCGATGTATTATCTACAAATGAAGTGTTTATTCCATAGTAATCTGTTTCTAAAAAAAAAAAACGAATGAAGTAGATCAAAAATCACAGTCTTCACTTAATCTCAAAGTATTATTTAGAAAAAGCAGCTCAAGATTTATTTGGATTAATTTAACAGCATATGTATGAATTACATAATAATGATTTATGCCCCAAATGTATGAACGGCATAACTAATAGCTTTACTATGCACAGAAAGGATCCACAGTCCTGAACTACATAAGCATATTTCTCATTTGTAAATTCAAGGGAATAGCTACAGAATAATGAGCACTCACAAAACCCGATTGTATGAAGTATTTCATTACTAAATTGCAACCAAAGATGAGATAATAATGATGAATACCAACGTATTCAAGTAGTTTTGTACTACTTAATTTAGTTTTGTAACCCTGAAAACACCTTAAGAAACACTCTGGGACTGCACCCTGCAGTGCAAAACACCCTATCAGGAAAGTGACGTCTTCAGTGTCAGTTCGCTTTATGTTAAAAAGGTAAACTTTAGTTTAATTTCACTGAGCTAATTTTAATGTGGCCCATAAAGTAGATTTTTAGTATTGCGATTCTCCCTTTCGATTAAGCCCGTCCAACCTCTATATGCATTTTTGTTGCAAACGTTATGAAGTCTTCTGGTTCAAAACTCTGCGGGCATTTATTAAGTTTATAAAAAGATCACACAGAACGTAAAGCAAACAACGATAGTGGGGTTATGAGTTTTTATGAGAAACAGTGTAGTTCTGTGCAGAATACTACATAGACATGTCATTCAAAATGTGCAGCTGAGATAAACAAAACCCGCTTGAGAACCAGACACACACTCAACCCAAACGAAATTTAAACTCAAACTTTCCCTCCAGCTGCGTGTTTCCATGGAGCCCGGCACTTCCGCTTCCGCTGTGAGCCGTTTCCGTCCTGCTCAGTGAGATTTTAAGGAAGCTGGGATGCAGGATGTTTGTATTTTCTACTCTCTCTAGTTGTGATGGTATGTTTGAGTTCAGCAATATGCATGCTTGTAGTAAGGTGTCTTTTCCCTGTTGTAGCTATGTGTGTTAGCGCATAGAGGGGGCAGACAGCGTTACTGGAAATCTGCTGTCTTCAGGTTGTGTTTTCAGCGCCACTGAATGACAGTCCCCTTAAATAAATGTTATTATAGAAGTGAAGCTGGGGAACAACGGGGGTGAGATTGGCCTGTAGTTACTGGGTGTTTTTTGTATTTTTTTTTCTTAATCTTTTCGACGAGTGAAGACTTGACAGATAACATGAACTTTTTTAAAATATGAATTTCAAATAGTTAACCTTAAGGTGGTTCATAAATGAGTCTTTCTGCACCGCGATGTTCCCTTTAGGAGAAGTCTGCTATCTGAGCATTATAAGTCTGCATTCCCTTCATTTCCCCTTGTGTTGAATTCAGCAGTGAAATCTGCATTGTGGCTTCGTTTCTTTGCGTGGAAACGGCAGCATCAACAACAGTACTGTTGTTGACTAGCTAGCCTGTTCTCTCATCCAGTTTCTGCCGAGAGCGGAAGGGTTGCTTGCCTGCAGCGGTGATCATTGTTTAAATTAAAGATACAAGAGACGAAATAGCAGTAAAATAGTCTCTACCCTCCCCCCCCCGCCCTCAGTTATGATGGTCCTTAACGGTATTTCCACTTTGACTTTAAACTGGTCACATGGGACATGGAAATAAAGTACTAGAACTTATACGTCTCTTATTAAGCTGCATTGGTAGGAAGTGATGAAATGTTTTGTGCTACCGTATTTACCACCAGCTTTCTGGCCTTAAACAGCCTCAGTTCGCCAGGGTGCGTACAAATGACCGTGCACGCAATGTGCCTTCATCTTATTACCTTCTCCCCAGCCGAAACTGTACCAAACACATCTTTCATCTTCCCTGTGGAGTCGAAGTGCGAATAAATCTGTCCCTTTAAACAAAAGCAAAGGTAGAAGAGTTCACGATTCCTTCTCTTTACGCGTTTATTGTCCCACGTTAGAAAGTTCGCTTCATGTAAAAAAAGTAAAGATTTATTTTACAGGCCTCTGAGAAGTGTGTGATTATTGTTTAAAACGTTTTTCTCTCCCTCCGCTACTGATTTAGGTTAGCCTGCAGTAACTACCCAGAGAGGAAGATCCATGATAGGTAGCCTTCATCCTTATATATTATTAATTCTGGGGGTAAATATGGCACAATTAGGAGGACAAGAGGAAAAAGAGAAAACTACAGCACTTAAAGGTAAGGAGTTGAAAAACATTGCATGCGCCGTTTTCTTAACCCCTCTCAATACCCATCATAATGTTTTGTGTTTGAGTCATGAGTTTACTGGTATTTTTGAAATCCTAAAGTATGATGTTACTTTTAAGGGACGCAGAGTAAAGACTGCACTGTGTATCATATGTTAGATAGCAATCAGAGAAGGCTGAGAATCTGTATTTACACCAACTACTGAAGAATAATTTTCAACTTAAAGGCTCTTCAAGGTCAGATCTTAGTTACACAAGCTCTAAAAGAGAACATCAAAATTGAATTTTCGCTGAGCAGTCTGTAGCATCACTCACAGAAGATTTCAAGGCAAACGTTTAGCGAACACTGGGCAATACTTTTGCCTAAATTACAAATTGTAAGAACAAAATTTATCATTTTGTTACCGTATTTATCAGGGACATTGCATGTGTAGGAGTGATCTTTTTCATACATGTAAAATGTATGAATCACATACGTATTTAACAGGGCTTGATAGCACAGAGGTCTCTTAGGTCTTTCTGCTGTGCTCTGCATGACTAAACAGTATTATTGATAGTAAGATAGATAGTAAGTATAGCAAGACCTTATTATACTCCTTGCCGTTTGTTAAATATTGGCTTCTAATGAAGCGTTTAAGTAACAGAGGTGTAACACCAAACCCTTTTGTGTTTTTTTAAAGCATTTCACCTGTTTGCCTGTCCCGAACTTTGAGTCCTTAAGCAGAAGCTTTATTGAGCCTTACGGTATATAAGTGCTAGGCTGACAGGCGTGTGTCACGCTGCGGCTCTGATCTCCTCTTGCAGTTCTGAACGTCTCTGTTTTCATTAACTACTCCTATGGCATGTGTTTTGTTAAGACTTTGAATTTGGTCAGTGAGGGATCCTTGTGTGGATTAATTGAATATTGATGGATATGATAGATGGTACAGGAGCAGCTATATTTGTCTTTGTTGGGGGGGGGCTGACATGTCTTATTTACACACTTTATTGTCCCAGATGGGAAATTCGCTTTGTAGATGGGGTTAAAGACACAAAACATTACACAATATATTTGTAACACAACATGAACCCATTAACAAATGAGAGACGTGTGTTTTGAGAAAGAAAATGAATGTAGTAAAATTTGCAGTACCTTGTCCTAATTGAGCAGGTTAATAGCTGTGGGAATAAAAGATGACTTACAGCTATTAACCTCTGCATGAAAAGCCTGCTCCGAGTTTCAACACTGAAACACTGAGCCTCCGTCATCGGTCCTCTAAAACAAACAAAGTATTGATTGGGCGGTGAGACTACTAGCGAATATTTGTTTGCTTGCCTGGCTGGCAACAGGAAGATAGTCACACAGGCCCAAATGGAATAATGACAGCAAAAACAGCAATTTATGTCACTAAAACATTGTGACTCCCGATAGAATACCAAAGAACAGATTTATTAGCTCATGTAATACCAGGGAGCATGTGGGTATCTGGAAAGAGACCTCCTGAAAAAGCCACAGCCAGCCAAAAGAGCCGTGCCAAAGCTGGAGACTGCCGTCACAGTGGCTCGGGTACCAGAGGACTGGAGAAATGCAGGCAGTCTGGCTGCACATCTTGCTGGTCCTGTGTCGCTGCCATGCCACTGTTGGTTAGTGTAATGTGGGCTTCTTGAGCAATCCTGATTGGTATCTGCAAAATCGTCACATCACTCAGCCCCCAGAGACTTTTAGTTTCCCTTGATTAGAATATGGTAGCAAATTCTGAGCAGAGCGATGAGCAGTAGCATCTTCACCCAGGCTGTGGTCAGCTGCAGTTACACTTGCCGGCACTCTCAAGCTATATATCGTGCAGAATCTCCCTGCATATGAACACCAATCTCAGAGCACCTGTATAATTGTACTAAAGCTCCGGAAGACATGGCTTTAATAATTCAGGCATACGAAACCCAAACTGTACGTGCAAACAGGTCCACCTCCTCACAAAATCCCTGGTGCAACGTAACACACAGCATGCTTCTTAGTTGCTCGTTTATGGCCTTTCGAGAGCAGTATGTACTTCTTTCATTGGTGATCCACAAAATGAAGCTTATCATGAAGCTTAAGAATAGTGCACACGATAATGCCTGTATCAAACAAAAGGAAAACCATTGAAGTGAAATGAAGATATAACAAGCCTTTTAGAGAAAGGAGATGAGCTGTATCTGATCAGGTGGTGTCATTTGTTTAAAAAGACAGTTATCCTAATGCAGTTTCATCTGCATTATACAGTAGGTTAAATAGGCTTTTATGGGGTGGCCTAGATAGCAAACAACTATTTATAACAGTTTCTCTAGTAAGATGCATTCCAAGTTCCAAACAACCGAACTACAACTGAACCTTGTAACCCTGTACTGGTTGTAAGTTGCGAACTTCCTATAATTGAAACTGCCAGCTAAATGGAAAGTGAGGCCTTTCAAAGTATTTGACAAAAAACATTCTGTGTTAGTTCACTTCTGTGGGCTTGTTGGAGAGAACATAAGGATGAAGTGATCTTGCAGTGGACTGAAATGGCAGTACCAAGGTTGCTCGCTCCTCGTGCTGAACAAACACGCATTTGAAAGCCATTTTGCGAATGGTAACTATTGTCTTTTAGGTTATAAATTGAGAACATCGAACCCGTTTCTTATATCTAAACTAAAGACAAGGATGTGAATTACATCAAAACGTCAGCCCATCAGGTGACTCTCAATTGCAATCCCGCTACCCAATGGCATCTCTTTTTATGCCTTCTTTCCAGTGGAAATCTGCCTTTAGTTACTGGGCTAGGTCAGTAATTTGTGACAGATTGGTTTGTCCTGGTGCTGATTTCATACATAGCTTAGTAGTGACTTCTGAATTACTGGAGTAGTTCATCCCCATACTCATTGTTTCAAGTTTTTCGGTTCCTTTCATGTTCAGTGTTTTGTTATCATTTTTATCCTACTGGTAATTATGTTCGGAATTATGTTGGGAACATCGCCTCACCTGCAGACAGACATTTCTTTGTGACGGGGTGGTGATAACCTGAACAAGAGGCTTAAAAAGTGTCACGCAGACATTTTGATGTGCCACAGCCAGGGCTATTCTTTTCTTTTCACATTCAAGAAAAGAATAGCAAAATAAGGATGACACATGCTGTATATAATCTATACATCATGTGGCATAATGCTGTGATATGATTCAGTATACAATGAATGTTGTGATATATGATGTATGCTGTAATGCACAATGTGAAAATACAGTACAGATCCACCCAGAGACAATTGTGGCAGCAATGCAAACCAACAGGTGCTTCCATCAAGTACTCACTTATCCAAGCCATTGTTTTAGGATTTCATTTGTTATTATTTTTCGGAATGTTCGAGTATTTGTTTCTCACCTGGAGGCTGTGTTACAGTGTGTACTGAAAGGTGATTTTAATGTCCTGATGTCAGGCTTTTAGGCGGGAAAAGGTGTTATTTGGAAAAGTGTGTGAACACTTTCTATAGGCATTGTATATGCTGTTACACTCAATATATGGTGATATATGATACATCATGACCTGCATATATTACTGCAATAAATATTGCTCCCTAGGACTTATTCTCCAGCATGTTGTTAGAATGAATCTGTTGTTATTTTATATGCTGATAATATCAGAGCTCTTCTTCACTCCAGTATCCCCTGGAATGCAATGTTTCATGTTTTTTCTCCAATTGTTTTTCTTAGATTTGTTGTCTAGGATAGACCTGGATGAGCTAATGAAGAAAGATGAGCCTCCCCTGAATTTCCCAAAGACCTTGGAGGAATTTGAGTATGCATTTAATGAAAGTAAGTATGGTCACAACGATATCATTGTTCGTATCTGAAAAAGTGTCCTGTGTCAGTAAAAAGGGAGATCTATTGATCTATGACAGCAGGTCATAGTTTGTGTTGAAAAATTATTGAAGTGATTTTAGTAAGGGAGAAATTAAAATGCTGTCCTTTATTACTGACGGCTGGAACATGGGTGTCCTCTTATCTAGCACAGCCCTTATTCACATCATCACCTGAATTGGCTGAACCTGTTGGGTTATTTGCTGCCAGTCAGAGTGAGCTTGTGTGACCCATGACAACCAGGAGCCAAGTTTTCCTCGGGGAAAAGGGAGGTAGCGATTGTGGCAGACTCATGCAGTGGAAACTGGTCTGGCAAGAACTGTGGTGGGTCTAGTTGCCACGGTTCACGTTGGAGCGGATAACGTAGGGGAAGGCAAATTTAAGGAAAGAGCTTGCAATCGTGTAGCTTGGACTTATCAGGAAGTTGCCACATGCAGCCTAGGGAAGCAAATATGGAGAAATATGGGAAATGTGGAGATTTAACACATGGCGAAAGGATCGATGCAGAGAAGAGAGGTAATGAGGTAAAGATTGTAGAACAGGACCTTGGACCCTGGAGGAACACAGCATGAGTGCAGAGTAGTTGAGGAGTATTTAGGGGCTGTGAGCTCAGGGCAATACTGGGACAGAAGAGCGTAGGAAAGGTTACAAGCGAGAGGAGGCCGTTTGGTCTGGTAGTTAGTCCTGAATTGATCCAAGGATCTCGTCCAGCTTTGTCTCAAAGAAAAGCCAGGAACGCCATGGCTGGCTAGCCTCTGCCCTGCTCCCACAGCCCTTTGGGTGAGGCATGGCCTCTTGTCCTCGAGACATCAAGACCAGTCTTGAGTTCACAGGTCCAGTATCCATCCGTGCTTCGAGCTTACAGAGAGCAGTGCAAGCACCGAAGGCCACTGCGTTGACGGAGCAGTGGCATCGTAAGAGTGACCGAACCGTGGGAGGAGAGTATAGAATCAATGGGTACAGTTTGTGGGTCTCTATATCAACGATAAACTGAAAGCTAGAGAACTGCAACAGGACGGTGCAGGCAGTTTAGGGTTATGCTATATGCCTATATGGGTTACACTGGACAGCAGAAATCCTCAGGACCTAATGAGTGTATACTGTAAACTGGCTAGAGCAGACATGGGCCCAGATGGCTTTTCTGTATGATGATGATGAAGGAGCTGGTGAGAGACTGTGAGGTCAACAGCAACTTTGAAAGAGCTGCAGTGCTTCAGTGGCTCAGACAGGCGAGAAAATATCCATGAGTCAAAGCTAACCTGAGTGACAGAAGTGACAGCCATTACTGTAAAAAAAAAGAAAAAAAAAAGACATCTCAAGTCCTGCATGAAGTCCGAAACAAGGAATTTAAATGATCCTACAGACATGTGGCACAAGTTGTTTTGTGGCTAGCTGAGCAGAATTGGAACATTTTCGTATAAACGCACAATGGTATGTCTAGAGCAAACAATCTTTTCTGTCCAGCATGGTGGTGGCAGCATTGTGTTAAAGCTCTGCTGGTCGTCAGTTAGGATTTGGAAGCTTGTCAAGACTGAGGAGAAAATAGATGGAGCCAATTACAGACAAATCTTAGAGGGAAACCTACTTTAATAATAATAATAATTAATAATAATTGCTTACACTTATATAACGCTTTTCTGGACACTCCACTCAAAGCGCTTTACAGGTAATGTGGACTCCCCTCCACCACCACCAATGTGCAGCATCCACCTTTAATCTGTGAAAACCTAAAGATGGGATGAAAATACAGCTTTTAACATGAGAATGACCCAAAGCACAAGGCTAAAGCTATGCTGGAACGGATTGAGAAGAGTCAAAGTCAACAAACACATCAGCAGACATTGAGTCAAAGTCCTATCTTGAATCCTATTGGAATTCTGCTTAAAAACCCAGAAAACTGCCCTTCATAAGTGATCCCCAAGCAATTTGAGACAGTTGAAGCAAATCTGATGAGAAGAATGGGGGCATACTGCACCACGCAGGTGTGCAAAGCTGGAAGAGATTTACCCGAAAAAGACTTGCAGCTGTAATTGCTGCCAAACAAATATTGAGTTTATGGGACTGGATTTTTATTCAGTCAACACAGTTTATTCTTTATCTTTAATTGTTTTTTTTATATTCTTGTTATTTGTTTTTAATAATATTAAAAACAACAATTCAGTTTACCCATCATTAACAATCAAATAGCCAGTAAGGCAGCATCATGTCTAGTGATACGACGAAAAAACAGATTATAAAATAATGGAATGTGGTATTTGGCATATGGGAACGGCTCTGTATAGCCCTCCAATTCCAAAATGCTACTGGGGGAAAACAAATTACATTAGAATTGGTGATTTTCGATGTAAGACCAAAGGGGTGACCAGATCTTCCAAAAATGTTCAGGTCTCAAATGGAGATCGTATGTTACTTTTTCTAGAGGTAAAAATGTAGCTACCTGAGAAATCCACATTTCAACCATTGGCACCCTGGAGACAGACCATAGTAGCAATATCCATTTCTTCACAAAATGAACCAGCATAGAAAATAATTGTTTATTTTGACATGTACTGTAACTTATCTTACTATTAGAAGTTTTCCTTTTGAGCATTTTAAAATATTAAGTTTTAAAAAATTGGAAAACATGATTTTCTGTTTTCACATGAAGGGACACTCTAAGGATGCATCTGAGTACTTTTGCGAGGCATTGTATCAGTCAGTGGTTTAGATTCTGGCACGGCTATCAAACCAGTTAAAGATAAGAATGTTATGTAATTTTATATTACATGTATTCTGTGGGGGTCAGGAGGGAAACAAAAATGATAGCAAGCAAGTTGCAAAAGATTTCCAAACAATCTCGGCAGACACTTGGCATGTTAAATTTAGCATTGCAATTGCAAAGTGATCCACACAGGAATTAGGAACATTATACGGTGTCCATAATTAGTGTATTTCTGTATATACAGAACTGCTTGGAGTTGGGATATAAAGGGGTCTGGGTGTTTATGTAGATTCTGTGTCCTCATCAAATCTGTGTGGAGAAGCACTAAAAAAATACTTTTTGTAGTTTTTTATTCACAAAATGCAGAACTTTCGTTAGCACAAAATTCAGAGTTTATTTCAAGGGAAGCTATGCCCAAGACGTCTAATGCAATGCATTTTTAATACTGCGTTCAGTTTTGTTTGCTGTTCCACAGAAGGATTCTTGGTGTGTGCTGGGGGAATACTAGTTATCCTAATATGGATTATGACTTTTAACATTAGACATTTTAATGTAATTTCATGAATTTGAATTCTGTACCATTAAGCCATAACTGTGCAGTGAACAATAAAGGCACACTGATGGGCTGCTCAGGCAACTGGCTTCTCCTCTATGTGTGGAGAGCTATGCAGTTTAGAGATTGGTAGGTCATGCAGTTTATTTAGAGTGCTCTCTGTCCAGTCAGAAATCTATTGCTGAGACAGACAAGTAATGGTATAAGAAGACCCTGTCAGTGGGGTACTGACACTCTCACTGTCAGGTAATGAAACAGCAAGCTAAGGGAAAAAATGCGGTTCTGGAAAGGCCAGATTAGTATTAATTATATTAATAATTAATTATTATTAAGAGTCTAATTAGTTGGTCTTAGAGTCGGCCATAACTGTGTCTCATCATCTGAAATGAATCGAGACAAGTGAGTTCCATCTGCCCACAAATATAAAGCACCATCTCTGCTATTGAAGGACAGCGACATACTGTAAATATTTCAGAATATTTCAATGGAGAAGACCTCAATTAAATTTGGTAGCAAAAGAGAATATTTATTTTACTTTTTGTACCTGCTTGGCAATACTGGTATCTCTGGATGCACTGTCTAATTAGAGAAGCAGTTAACATAATTTGACATCAGTCGTGGAAGGTTTTCAATTACAGAAACCAACCTTACCTCCCTAAACTGCTGTGTTTTGATTAGCTTGCAGAAATGTTGGTTCTTATTTGAGGGGAAGAGTGAGGGTAGTTTTGGACTGTAGATCAGCGGATGAAGATTAAAAATCTTTGGAAATAATTTGTATTAGTAGTTTATGCATTTGTGTGTTATGTTTTATAAAAATAATGTATTTAAATCGATATCTTAATGTTGCTCCTCCTCATTGATCTGCTCTCTCACTGTGCCAGGGAAACAAGAAAACACATCATCTGCTTCATTTTCAGTTTTCATTCCTGGCTGTCGGGATCATATTATCTGGTGATTTGAACTGGTGACAAGATTGTTTACTTTATTTCAACTGCCATCAAAGTTGGTATTATTTATTATTTAAGTATAATTACCCTTCAAGTTAGTTCACAGAAGAATGAGGAGAATAATTTCCGGTCTCATGGGATGGTCATCAGGAGCTGAATCTCTTTAGTCTAAAGCAAAGGGGGACGGAGGGGAAGTTTGATCTGAGCATGATGCAAAGGATTAAAGCCAGGGTTCACCTAGGGAGTTATTTCACCCTGTGTGTCCCAGCCAGATGGTGGAGGCTCCTGCAAGGTGCAGCTGGACGAAACTTGTGATTTATTCTGCATCTGAATTACCTAACGCACCTGGTGGACTTAATGGATTCAGTGGCAACTGTGTGTGAGCTAGTGGAATCCTAAAATGCTTTTATCCAATACCAATACCATGCTACAGGAAGGCTTGGTCCTATAAATATGGGCTCCTTCCTTAGACAGGAAGAGAAACCATTGCAAGTCTTTCTTTCAGCCAGCTGTTGTTATCCAAAGCATTTTGCAGTGACCAAAAAGTGAGGTCAGTTAAGTGTTTGAGGATCAATTTTGTAATGGCAGGCTTCCACAACTGTGTGAAGCAGAAGAACGGAGGTGAGGTGCTTTTGGTGTTTCTGTTGAAACTGAATGATACACAGATTTTTTGCTTAGTGGTACTGCTATTTACTTCCAAAGTGGATATGGTAGATGACGACGACGATGACGATGATGAAGTCTAATAGGAGAC